AAGCCGACTACTCAAACTAGCAGCTAGCTCCACAAATAACCCATCCAAAAGCCTGTATTCCACTAAAAAAAATCTTGTGAATATACAGTTTGATTCTTCAACTTTATAAATATAAGTTCACAACAAAAAGGCACTGTATATACACTTCAGTATTCTACTGCAAAATAATATCCTTCACAAGCCAAGTATTCATTCATGCTACAAGTCCACATAGAAGTTAATCCCCATGCTAAACATATGCATCCATCAACAAATATAAAGTATCTCTTTCTAATGCATTATTCTCATTCTTGAAAAGAAAAAATGCACATCACACCTCCAGATAAACTACTGCGTGACAAGTCCACACATCCATATTACCATATTTCTATTAATATCTTAATGAATTTGATCTTACCAACAAAATTCATGCACTGAGATTTTAGTTCTTAATGAAAAATGTATAAGAAATTTCAAAAAACAGAAAGAAAAAAATAATAAACAAGAAAATGATTTATCTATTCTGCATTACATAATTTCACCCAAGAATCATAATGCACCACCACATTACACAATTTCACATCAAGATGCCATTTAATCGGTAAGAAAAGCATCTTTATATCAAATTGGCCATGGAACTCACCATACAGTGCATCTCCTTTCTCCGCATGATCAAACTCAGAGAGTGGCATTACAATTGACTGAAGCTTCACTCTCCCACCCCGTTTGTTCTAACAATTATTAAAGAACAGATCAATACAGAAATACAATCATTTAACCAATAGAACTTCGGGACAACAAAATGAAATAAACACCTGGTATTCCATGAATTTTTCAGCGTGCTCTCTCTCTTCAATACTTGATTCCTTGAAGAACCTATAAGCAAAAAAAAAACTAAACTAAGCCAAAAACTCAACAACGATTAGAAACCAGAATACCTCTAATATTCTCCAGAAACTTACTTGGCAAGACCCTTGAGCGCCACGTTGTCCCTGTCAAAGTAGGCAAACATGCCATGGTACACATACGAGACATTGTATTCCACACTGCGATTCAAAAGATATAAACAGATTCTTATCAGCATAATCGAACAGAAAGAGAGAAATTAAACAACAAGATAGCAAACGCGTCAAGCAAATTTTGAAATCGTTAAACCAACAAAGAAACTAGAAAAGGTTTATCGGCAAACAGAGGCAACCATTCCAGACACATACACATCAAGATTCAATTAAAGAAACCAAAGATTTTATATCAAAATCTTAAGAAAATGAATGGAAAAGTATTTTACAGATGAAACGATGAGCCGAGACAGGAGGGAGGGATCAACCTTTTCAGCAAACAAGAAAGAAAAAACAATATCCAAAAACAAGAAGAATCTTCGTAAACATGTAACAGAGAGGAAAAAATCAAGAAATATTATCAGAGACAAGGCAACTCACTTGATCTGCTCGTTGATTGCAGCCTCACATTCATTTGCGTACTTCTGTCGAGCGAGAGAAACTTGAGGCACAGTAGGTACAAGATCGAGCTCCTTCTTCACTTCCTCGAAGGGCTCGAAAACGACGCCGGTTAAAGGCCGATTGTTGGCCCCTTTAGTGGCACAAACCACAAATCCACTCCCGGTCTTCGCCGACGGAAGACGAATCAAAGACGCCGCAGAGGACGAAGAGTTCAACAGTGAATTCTGCGAAAAAACAGAGGAAGACACAGAACCCAGACTATCGCCATGGGTGCTCAACAGAGAGAAAGCAGGAGCAGCTTTGAGTAGCATACTTGCAGAGAAATAAGGAGAAAGGCTATAGAAAAAAAGCTAGAAGAATTTTCTCGAAAGACGAACTGAGAGAGAGAGAGAGAGAGAGACAGAGAGAGAGAAAGAGAGAGAGAGAGGTGAAGAAATTTCAAGAAGATGAAAACTGAAACGAAGGGTCTTGAGAGAGGGGAGGTCGTTCTGTGGTGTTGAGATGAAATGAAGAGAGAGGAGGAATATAGAGAGGTGGCTGCTGGAGAGGATTGCGGTGGTCCATTGGATGGAATACACGTGGACGGATCATATTGAGAGGTGGGTGAGGGGAGCGTGGCATGCTCGTGGTTTTATCTGGAGATATCTGACGCGTTTGGATTCATTTGTTTGCAAATCTGTGGAGCTCAAATCCAAAAACGGCACATCACGTCTTGCGTATTCTCAGTGCAATAACTGTTTATTTGTGTGGCTTTCTTCTTCTTTTTCTTTTCCCTTTTTTCTCCAATTTTGTGGCAAAGGAAACAGGATACCGAAGAGAAGAGAATATCTTTTTGGTGGGAAAATTAAAGTAAACCAAAAAGGTTTTTTGGTCTTTTAATTATCAAAATTCGATAAAAAAATTGAAGTTTTAGTTTTTATTTATAATAAAATTAATATAAATTTTGTTTGTACTTGAGAAACATAATAATTTTGCATATGAAAATAAATTTAGCTTTAAAAATAATCCGATTAAATTAGGACATGCACTTGAATTAGGGCACATACATGATAAGATTCTTTGTCCTGACATTTGCTGTGTGACCCATTATTTAACAAGTCAATGGAATGAACATTCCACTTTTAAAAAGGGAATTTTAAAAAAGTGAAATAATATATTTGTGATATGTGATATGTATTTTGTTGAGGTAAAAATATACAGTGAGAAATTTTTATTTTAGTTTATTTTCAAATTTTCTTAAGTAAAAATTTTAAGTAATTATAAAATTATAATAGAAAATAATTAAAATTATCATTTTTTTCTGGTGTGATGCTCTTCATAAATTTTGAATATTGTAATAATAAATTTAATAAACTTAAAAATAATAATTTATTTGTTTATTTTGGTAAATAATAATTAAGTACATTAGTGAAATTAACATTGTTTTCATTATATCTGTTTCTTTCACAATGCGTAAGTAAATAAATAACTTATCTACGAGGGCCAGCCACCTCGTAGATAAGTTGGGCTTTCCTAGATTTATTTACTTCCAATATATATATATATTTATTGGAATATCTAAAGCCCAATAAGCCAACTTAAGGCATATACATAAAATACAATAAACATTGTCGAAACAAATTGGTCCAATAATTTTAAAAAGAGAAGGGCTTTCGATTGTGATTAAACTAAGTTCGTCAAAGAAGCTAAGCCCACATATAAGCTTCAACTTATGCTTTTTCCCCATGATGTAAATGGTTTGGATGATTTGTTGTATGTATCTATAGGCCATTTGGATTGCCGTAAAATTTTTTTAGCTTATGGATTCTTTTTTAATGAGTAAAATTATTAATTAAATAAAATTATAAATTAGAATAAAATACATTGAATAGAAAATAGATCAATGAGAAAAAAGAATTTATTTGATTTAAAGGAAGAAAAATATGGGCTTATTTAGCATATAAATATATATATACACTTTTAATTTTATGCTTTATACATATATATACTAAAAGAGAAAAATAAAAATAAAATTATATTTATATATCAAACTCAATTTTATATTTTCTCAAAATAACAACAATTAAAATTCCAAAAAGGGTTTCGTTCATTATAACTTTTTTAAGAAGGGTAGTGTAAAAATATATCAATCACCTATATATATATAAACATATCTTAATTTACATTGTAAAGGTGCGGAACTTAAAAAAAAATAAATTTATAATTTAAATACAGAAACGAATAATATATTAAAATTTACATTCCTTACTCAATAAATTAGAATGTCCAATAGAGATACGAGAATGTTTTTACTATAATGGCGCGCAAAAAAAAAATAAATAAATGATTTAAAATAAATAGATAAATAACATAAGGTTAACCTCCACTATCTCTTCAAGAAGTTTGGGAGGTAAACTACTCACAGTTTTCTTACTGATCGGGGTTTGGATCCTAATCCTCTTGATATGAAATAGTTAATAAAAGGATGAACTACACTACCCCAATAAGAATATCACACTACTCACTGATATGGAAAACTAAAGATTGATACAAATTAGAAAAATAAATAATGGAACCCTTACTTTAATTAAATACATTAAACTTAAAAATATTTGTTTGATATTTATTATTACGAGTTCTCTAAAAAAACAACTTATGAAGACGAAAATTTTTCTCTCTTACATGTTTACTAGTACCCCTGGAGTCTATAGGGATGTCCTCCAACTCGTGAACTAAATATCAAATTTTAATAATTAACTAGTCGTCTCATACCCTGTCCAGTAATGGGCGCCAAATATTTTATCGTCTCGATACTCCGTCCGATATAAGTGAGAATTATATCTTCCGAATCTTTCCAGTAAGGGACTTACCAGTCTCGTTTAACTTAGGTAATGTTCACGGTAAGGTTCCCTATAAATTGGTCTCGTCCGCCTAGGTACCTAATAAGTCTTTCACATAAATCAATTAGACGACATTTATTCAGATAATATAGCTTATCATAATAAGGGATCGAGTAATCAGATAATCGAATAAATTAGATAAATCGATAAGACCATAGAAACTATAAATTAAGAACATACACAATATGATAACAAACAAGTAGGACAGTACAAAAAAATAAACAAGAAATTAGAATAATTATGAACTAATCGATTTCGGCTCTACTAGTAACCTGTAATTATTTTTAGAGTTTTTTAATTTTTTCTAAAAACACAAAATTATACATCGTTAAGCCTTCTTTTACCGTAACGGAGACTAAGGTGAAGGATCCTTACCCAGATCAGTATTTCGAGACATTGCCCTGCCTACTACGCCTCCTAACGGGTCCTGAATTTCTTGAATTTTTTCTATAGATAAAAAATACTCATTACGTAACTAAAAATACTCTAAAAATCCAAAATTAGTGTCCAAAACTCTTTTTGGCAAATTTTAGGGTTCCAGCACGTCACTGCTACTATGCTCCGACGTCAGTTCCGCCACCCACGGCGCCGATTCACCCTGACTTGGCCGATTTTGACCAATTTTTACCAGTTTTAGCCGATTTTACACATATCCCTGCAAAAAAATACGATAGGAGGCCTTGGTTGGTCAAAAAATTACAAAAAAATGAACCTACTAGCGAGGGCTTTCCGGGTACGGTGGCTCTGCCGGCTTTGCTCACAATTTTCGGCTCACTCATTATCCCTCTTGCTCTGATGTGGCTACAAAGAGGCTCATAATCGAATTTTGAGTAAGTAGGGGAAAATTTAACTTTTTTAGCAATCAGCAGTAGCTCCGGTGCGGCAGCAATCGGCGGTTGGCCTTCTTCTCCAGCGCCTGGTTCTTCTTCTCCGATGGGAGCTGGCGGTTAGGGTTTGGGTTCCCCTGCGAGGCAACATATTTATACTCATCCCGCATCGATCTGGACCGTCCATTGGAGTCGACGTACAGCGAAGAGGGTCATCCGATCTTTACTTGTTTAGATTGATTACATGGCGAATTTGAACCGTTCATCACGATTAATATTGTTCATCTGATCGTGCCTAAGAAGAGAATGAATTTGAGTCCTTCACACACACGTGATCGAACCTGGATCGTCGAATCGCTGAGCACACGGATCACCCACGTGGCCTCCTGCGTGGCGCCAACATCAGCCTACCGGTCTACAATGCCTACCGACAGCTCCTCATAGGATAGATCCTCCCATAGTGAAAGGGGCTCGTGGGACAAGATGTGTGAGAGGTGTGAGTTGTATTTGCGTAACATGGATACGTGGAACACATTATGAACCTTGTATAACACTAGAGGTAGTGTCAGTTTATAGGGGGTCATACCAATCCTGTCTGAGATCTCAAATGGCCTGATGAACTAGGAATTTAATTTCTCTCTCTTGTCAGATCTACTGATTCTCTTAAAATAGGTGACCTTAAGAAACACTCGATCACCTTTTTCAAATTCTAAATCCCTTATCCGAGTGACTGCATAACTCTTATGCCTGCTCTGAACTGTCTTGATGTTCTTCCTGATTTTAATTATCTTGGCTGTAGTCTCCTCTACAAGATTTGAGTTGAATAATTTTCTATCACCCACCTCTTTCCAACATATCAACGACCTGCAGGAGCAACTATATAGTGCCTCATACGGAGCCATGTCGATACTTGCTTGGTATCTGTTATTATAGGCGAACTCTATCAAATATAGGTGATCATCCCAATGGCCCCCAAAGTCTAGAATACAAGTTCGGAGCATATCTTCTAGTGTGCGGACTGTCTTCTCTAATTTTCCATCGGTTTATGGGTGCAATGCGGTACTATGGGACAGTTTCGTTCCCCTAACTTGCTGAAAACTATACCAAAATCGAGAGGTGAACCTAAGGTCTCTATCAGATACCATTGTCACTGGAACTCAAAATAACCTGAGTATCTCTCGAATATATATTCTTACTAACTTCTCCAAATGGTCGGTCATCTTGATAGTCAAGAAGTTAAAGGACTTAGTGAGTTGGTAGACAATTACTCTGATAGTATCATGTCCTGAGCGGGCCTTAGGCAACCCAATCACAAAGTCCATTATGATATGTTCCTACTTCCACTCCGGGATCCGTAATGACTAAAGTAGTCCACCTGGGTGTTGATGTTCTACCTTAACCTATTGACATACTAGACACTTAGAGATAAAATTGGCTATCTCTCTCTTCTTCCTACTCCACTAAAATCGAGGTCGCATACTTTGATATATTTTTGTACTTGCAGGAGGTATGATGAATTTTGAGATGTGAGTCTATGTTATGATGTTCCTCTTTAGTTCACTATCATCTAGAACACACACTCTATCTTAAAACCTGAGTAACCCATCAACGGAGACTTGAATTTTTTATTTACTCCCTGTTCTACATCATTCTTGAAAGTTGTTATGGTGGAATCGGTTGATTGAGTTTCTTTTATTCTCTAAATCAATTCAGGTTGAACAGTCAGATGGGTCAAGCATGTAACTCTATTTAAATTCTGAAGTCATATTTGTTGTGCGACCTCTATTATCCTGTATTCAAAGACCATTAG